GATTACATCCTGTACAATCAGGATTTAGCTGGATTCTTTACATCGGTCGATCAAAGCCGGTTTCTTTCAGCATACAGCATCATGGTTCGATGGTACAGAGAGAAGAACCCACTGCACTCTTCCAAATTCTTCATTGACCACTCACAGAAAGACCCCACACATCGAGTTCACAGAGGTAAAAGCAGACAAAAGCAGCAGGAAGCCTCCTCCGGCAACAAACTTTGCATACAATTACAACACATACCACAACTCATCATTGCAGTGCTCAGGCTCAACTATTTCACTGTCGGTACATCACTCATTGAGCAATTTCGTGGAGCACCTATGGGCTCGCCCTGCAGCCCAGCTTTATGCAACATCGTGGTTGCTGTAGAAGAGCAGTGTTGGCACCACACATACAAGCAACTTTTCACGAACCACAAGCATTTTCCAGACCACAACAAGCAGGATCAAGCTTACTTTTTTGCTACCAGATACGTCGACAACCGCGTCCTTCTATTGCCTGCACAGCTGACCCGACTGCCTCCTTTTGCACAGCTTACTGACGCATCTTTCTACAAACCACCGGTTCAGCTTGAAACTGAACCGGCCAACATTTTCCTGGGTTTCGCCATAAACCCTCAGCACAGCAGCCTTACGCATCACTGCACTTTACACAAGGCGGATATTTTACACCCACAGTCGGCGACCTCTGTTGCAACACTTCGCAGCAGTTTTCAGGCCCGCACACGCATGGTACGCAGAGTGACAACACCATGCAGCGAGGCCACATCAGCCATTCGAGCCATGCGCGATCTGTACATCGCTGCCGGCTATACTGATCAACAGCTGTAAGCAAAAACACTGTGCCAAGTTGCAGTGCGTGCGTTCAGAGCCATGCAACTTTGCAACATGTGAGACGCCTTGTACCAATACAGTGTTTCCCGCAGCCATTTACAGGGACTAACTGAGGCATCATCATGTATAAAAGTGCCATGACTGGCAGATTGCAGCCGAGCCACAAAGCGCTGAGCGGCCGTCCTCGGCCATCCATCTCCAAGCATAGCAGACGCCGCAACGAGCAGCCTGCGGTTGGCAGCCACACTCAACAGCCGGCGCCTTTACGCTCTCAGTTCCTACGTGTCGCAGAAGACGAAGATTTCCAAGATTACCAAGAGCAACACCAAGATCCGCAAGAACAGCAGGACGCAGCAGTGGCTGCACCGGCGACTCCACCATTTCCACCTCCGCCGCATTCTGGTCCGGATTCATCGGCTGAGATTATTGAGTTACTAACACAGTTTCACAATTCGTTGCTTGAATCCAATGCCAAGCTGGAACGCTTGATACAGCAGGCCACAACGGTGTTGACTACTCAACACGAAGCCACCACTGCCATTATGGCATCATGCAAACAGCAACTTGATATTCTCGAGAGCCTTATGAGGCAAAACACACCAGACTGGTCCTGAATGTGCTGCTGAATCCGCTGGTATAAAAAGAGCCAGGTAGTGCACACCTCTTGCATTTGACCATTTGTTGCTTGCAGATACGCACCATAACTTCGCCTTCTGAAGTTTTATGCCTCAGAGTGACACCTATTCGAATCCCGACATAGAGCCATGAGCGAAGCATCTTTTCCGACAAACACAGCGACTACAGCTTCGCCACCCATCGATGAGGCACGACGTGAAGCTCTCTCCGAGGCCATCATGGAGATTTTGACACAGCATCGGGACTATGATTCAGAAACTGGAAGCGAACCTTCCACATTCAGTGACGGGGCTCTACGCGACCAATTAGCCGAGTTTATTCTTCAAACAACTCGGCAGATCACAGAGCTAAAGCAACGAGTGGAACGACTCGAAGCTTCGCAACAATAGGTGATCAACCATGCTCATACCGTCATCGGGCACATTGCAGCGGACGGTGAAAACAATGATAGTCGTTTTCGCCAAGTGTTACAGTCAGCGCACTCACTTCACATATGTTTGTTATGCAGCGATTGATGCACTCTTTCCCGCAGCATTTTGAAAAACAACCAGTTGTGTTAGCATCATGGAACAACGCACCAGATCGCGATCTCCGACGGCATCACAATGGAGATGGCATTGGGCCACTAACGGCTCTTCATGGTGGCGAGAGTACTTTATCGCATCTCAAGAGTGGATACGAAAGCATTCGGAGCAGCCTGATCAGCGTCCGACATCAACGACTCCTACCCAAAAGGAGACAGTATCTACTACATCAACTCCTACATCCAACAAGCGAAAGCGATCAAGAACTCCGTGAGCAGCATTGCTGAGTTGACAATTAGATGCATATTTGCTGCCCCCGGCAGCCAACAATCACACAGCAAAGCTGTGCTGCGAACTCCATCACATCTGATGAGGTTCAACATTAAGAGCATCATGTCGAAAGTTCATGCAGGTCTGCGCGGTTTATCAATTGATGTCTCTGTGTGCCTCTCTCTCTCTTCTGAAGTTCTACGTTTGCACATGCCTCAATGCAGTTGTGACTCCGCAGCCATTTCTCTAACCTACAGTTGCTGAAACACATTAGACAGTTTTGCACACAAATGGACGAGGATGACGACAGCAGCCTATGGGGATCCGAAGAGATTGATGCCTTCTTGAGGAAGGACGACACCACCAGATCCTCCCATGCAGTCAGCCACACACACAAGCAAAAGACAAAGCACACAACGAGGACAAAAAAGAAGAAAGACAACAAAGACAAAAAGGACAAAACAGTCAAGAAAACAAAGAAAACACGCAACATCTCACCACCATCCCAATCCACAACACAGCAACGACGCCAACATCCACATACTACAAGACGAAAGAGGACACGCTCTTCGCATTCAACATCATCAGCGTCACCTACGGCAACGTCACACATGGCTGAGGACCCACACCGGTCTCCATCTCGAGATCCTTGGTCTTCTGACTCGATTGCACCTTACGATATTGTGCATCCTACTATTCAGCACAAGCGGTCCAAAACCGCTTGTGCAAAAATGCTGGTACGTGCAGGTTTTAGGTGTCGATGCCATTTCAAGATCATGAGTGACTGTCCCAACAAACTCGCTGTTGGACCCTAATTCTCAGGACGGATTAGGGCTGCAAGATCCGCTAAGCGTGACAAAAAAGCCTGCGCATGCGAGTGTCAGGACGACACCACTTTGTTGTTTTGCCAGAGCACACATCATGTCCATGTTGATTTGCATTCCTTGTTCAAGCTTTTGTCGGTTGGTAGCAGCAAAAATATGACAAAGCGAAAGGCTGCCGAGGCCGGCCTTCCATGGTACTCCATGGCAGGACAATGTTTTCGGATGACTGTTGAAATTCCACCCGACCGCATCACCAGAGACAAGCACATGTTCTTACACGTGGTGCTTTGTCTGGGCGACAACGTTCTCCAAGCACGCAAGATCTTCTCCTACCGCATCAAGGAGATCACCGGCAGAACTCCTAAAATCCCAGCTTTCTTCTTCGAACAAAACCGACGACGACTACATGATTGGGATTCAGTCACCACATTAGCCACGTTGATGCCGGTGCTTTTTGTTAGAACCTGTTCGGATCAGGAAATACGACAATCACCCGATCGCTATTGACAGCGAGAAAAGTGCGCCATTCACTCCTATTGCCGTGCATCAGACCTTTCACTCTACTTGAAGCATGTACGCCCCATTGGGGCTGTGTGTGTGTGAACCTCCCTAGCACATGGGAGCAGAGGGTCACTCCTACACTGTTTGCAATTTCGCTTTTCAACATAATCCGACATTGGACATTTACCAAATCAACTGTTGCAGGGGGATCAGGCTTCCAGTGACTGACCTGATCCAACGAAGCTAGGTCACTGGAAGGGAAGTGATTGAGGACGCTCAGTCATGTACCTGCACAATTTTCGGCAGCCCCCTGTGGTGCCAAGATTAGTCTGAGGACAGGCCCCCTGTGGTGTCCAGATTAGACAAACAATTTGTACGGTTGCCGCAATCTGACAAACAGTTGCAACATGAACAACATTCCTCTTTTTGTCCTTTGCACTCGTACTCTTGGCCGAATCCATCAGTGTGCGTGTGTGTGTGTGTGTGCGTGTGTGTGTGTGTGTGTGTGTGTGTGTGTGTCTGTGTGTGTGTGCGTGTGTGTGTGTGTGTGTGTGTTGGTGAGGCGCTGTTGTGTTGCACAGGCTGATGTGCCCAGCATGTCGACGCTTTCACATGTGAAATGGAGGTTTGACCTGGTCGCACATTCTCCTTGAAACAAGTTTAATTTGGCGAAGCATCTGCAAGCCGTTCCCTGCAACTGAAAGGAGCGTTCGTGGCAGCGCGTGGGTATATGGTAGGATATGGTAGGATGTAAAAGTCAATTTCTATTTCGGGCAGATGACAGATATTGACAGATGCAGGCCAGTCTGTCTGGGGCAAAGGTCCGCTCCGTCAAGGCTGCTGGCATGGCCCTTTGTGGAGAATTCGAGCGCTGATGGCTGCTCTCGAACAAAGTGCTGCCGCTGGTTTCATGGACGGTTCAGGGGAACGGAAATTGGCGATGCTTGGCGTTTCCCTTGGGACGACAGTAAGCAATCCAACCCCAGTCCAACAGAGCTTTCACTTTTTAAATTCACACAGTACTGGCAGACAGTAGCACTGCACACCAGGCCTCACAGCACGCCGCGTTTCCAGAAGCAGCTGACACTAGAAGAGTCGCGGCGTCGCTCCTGCAATTAGCGATGCAGTAGTTGATGCTATGCTGCGGTTCTCTCTGGTGTTCTCCAGCGTATGGCGCTTGATCCGATTTGCCATTACATTCACACATTCTCTTGTTGGAAAGGCAAAGAATTGAGCTGCAGGCTCATGCTTCGCACATGTCGGAAGCCGCACGTAAAGAAGCTCCGAAGCTCCGATTGAGAGGGACGGAAGGGAGGGATGTCTTGAATCCTTCGCTGATACAAAACTCACGTGGCCTTCATGGTATGCCAGCTCCATCCAGCTCTGTAGAAACGTTGCTACCCGGAAGGAGCCAGTCCGAAAAGTGTACAGAAGGGCAAAGGGCCGCCCCCTCCAAAAGGAGGCACGAGACGCTGACCTTTGTTCGATAGAAAGATTCGAAGCTGGGCTTGGAAGGTGCAAAGGGAGCGTTTTCAGCACCGCCGGCTCCCGGGAAGGGCAAAGGGAAAGGCAAGCCCGCTCCTCCGAAGGCCCTTCTGCTACCATGACTTCCGCAGACTGACGATCGATGGTAGACCTTTGACGGTAGACCTTTGTGAGGCTCCACCGCGAGCAGGGGCAAAGGTTGGACTTGTGCTGCATCGCTGGCCCACTGTGGCGCCGTGGCGCATCGATGCTCGCTTGGGTGCAGGCTGGGCTCACCAAGGAAGCACATAATCCGAGGAAGGCCGGGCAGACATCGGAAGACCATGACTTCATACGACACGACTCGTCAAACATGCGTACACGAAGGAAGCTGTGACAGCAAAGTCTCTAGTCTTTGACGTGTAGCTCCAGCTGACACTCCCGCCATCCAGGCAGAGATTCAGCCGCGACTCCCCATGAAAAAACTGTTCTGGAACGCTTTCGTGTGGGTTTCCCAGAGCTGCAACGTGATCTCGCCGAGCCCACGCTTCGGTACAGAGGGTGTTGCAGAGGCTGGACGACGAGCATCTCCGAAGCTGTGAAAATGCTCGGGGCCCATCAAAATAAGATGTTGAATGTGAGCTGTCGTTGCAATGGATGTGACCAGTTCCCAATGCAGGTATGGGCAGCAATCGAAAAGGAGAATGCAGACCTTTACAGCTTCGACGTGCAGGATTGATCTCGGCAGACGACTGGCATAAAAACAACAGAAGCTATACCAACATGGATTGTCTATGTCTCTTGACTCTCGACTGCATGTCTGCCAGCAGGAACTGGAACAGCTTTTTGCGGAAACGTGGGCTGCTGAGTTGCTGCCGAGGCTTTAAGACAGGCGACTGAGAGTCGGTGCGTTGGTTGGATATCTCAGGTCGTCTCGTTCTGGAGTGCAAACTCCCGTATCACACGGAGCGCAGCATGTCACGTACATATGTCGCAATGCCGCGATGTCGAAGTTGGTACAGCGGTGTTCTGAAGAATTGTGCAGGCCAGCAAATTCAGAACCGCTTGGATGTGCTTGGTACGCTATGTAACGGCAGGTCCAGGAAATTCAGTATAGGGTTCTTACAGGTTACAGCTCTAAGGACACGCAAGATATTGTTATTGATCACTTACCCCGCCTAACTCACCGTGGGGGACGTTACGTAACGTTCCCACAGTCGTTTTTCAATTTAGGGACTTGACTTTGAGAGCTTCGCAGTCAACGACATTCACCCCCACCGTGTTTCGTCTTGTCGTCGCTGTGACTGTCCCTGTTGCTTCTGCCACTTGCTGAACCTTCAGGGTGCGCAGCCAGACCCCTAGCCAGCCATACCAGACCAGCAATCATGCGGCATAGCGTCCCAAAGCTACCCGTACATCGTTTCAAAGGCAGCCCCAGAGCCCAGCAAGACATCATTACCAGACCCCCCGAACGTCCAGCGTAAATCACCTGACCCCATAGCTGACCGTCTGACATTGCTTTTCATAAAGGGTGGTGATCTCTCAATGATTAGTCGCTGCCACAAGCGGTAGCGTGAAGAAGTGTAGCAGACAGATTTCGGGTTCCTGGGTGTTCCGGGTTCCTCTGAAACATGCATATTGATACCAACCTCCTCAGACCACAGGAGCCGGGGTTGAGCCCCTTTCCGGAGCGGTAGCATCCGACCCTGCATTTCTTGAGGGTTCGCATGTCCGCGCTTTCCCCTCGTGACCCTTAGCCTTCAGCGTGCTGGCTTGCCAGTTACCTGCTTTGTGTCGATCTTCATGCTCTGGGTCAAGCTGAGATGTTGACCCTGAAGCATGTGGGCCAACTGCTTCCTTTGGCCTGCTTAGTCGAACTTTAAATGTGCAAGCTACCGCATACTCCGCAGCACACTGCGAAAGAAAGGGAGAAGAAAGGTCGTACTTGACATCTCGCAAATTTGGCACATTCCGGCAGTTCGGGACTCGTGCAGACATATTGTACGGGAGGTTCTAGAACGCCACCCGCTTGTTAATTTCAACGCGTCTGCAGTCTGCATGTCAGCTGAACAAGTTTTTGTGGCGGCATTGTGAAACAAGTGTCAATCCGAGCAGGACGCAGGTTGCTAGTTTTGGTTCATGTTCGGCAACCAGGCATCCAAAAGTGGTCCTTGCAGCCGTCTAGGTTCGGGCTGTTTGGAGTACGGCTTCCCTCATTCTCGAAGACAGAAGCCAGATTACTGACCCTGGAAGCTGGGACAAAGAGACGTTTAAGTTTTCGGCAGTCTGCTGAGACATGCTTCCTGTGGCTGGGAGCGGGCTTCCATGGTGTAGGTTCCGGTGTGAGTATGCTGTCGCCAGGAGGCAGCTCGGCGGTCCGACGAACCAGACTCCGAGCAAGAGTGTTTGAGGAATCCCGCCGTCGACAGGCTGGGATAGGATACTTGGTGCAAGAAGAAGCCAGATTGGTGGTAGGTTTGCATAATGCTTGCTCGACTACCGCCAGTAGAGACGACCGTGGCCTGCTCAGACAGTCAGGTGGAGAAAACCGCATGCCCTGCGAAGCCTCCAGGTCAAGGCGATCCATGACATGGATGATGATTGCTTGGACAAGGACCAGGCCCTGGGCTTGGTGGCCAGAGCTGAGGACAGCATGTAGGCTTTGTCCGTTCCTAAGGTGGAGCTTCTCCTGGCGACAGCACCCACTGCAGAAGTGCGGACCTTGGCAGCACGAGCAGTGTGTATGTTAGATTGGAACGCATGCGCGACACCCCGTCCACCACCGAGTGTGCAAAATCACCGTCACACCCAGGCAGGTGAATTTGTGACATATCGCCCCGATGACTGAATACATCGACGTGCGTGGTATTTGTGTCTGCCCAGCCCATCCCACACCATCAGACCAGTGAGTGCTGGCCTGGTTAATGCTGGTCACGAGCCGGCGCACAATGTTATTCCGGCAACCGCCGGCGCTTCCGCATGTTGATTTCATGGGATCTGTCTGTCGGCGGGTGGACATCTTGCTTGTCGATTCTGGCGGGAAGTGGGGTATCGGCATTTGCGCACCTGGGAGCAGTGTGTCGGAGAATCGTGCAGAGTATCAGTCGGAACAGACCCGCAACATACTGCTGGTGCTGACGTCGCATGATTCTCGGCAGGAGCTTACCATGCTTCATGCTGCAGCGAGGGAGATGCCTGAGAAGGCGAGGGGCAGATGATCTGTCACTCGTGGGTGGCATAGACGTAGGCCTCGTTGATGCTGAGAGGCCTCCCTGCCCTGGGATGATGCTGAAGACTTTGTGTGGAAGCTTGCCGAGGCAATGCAGACGTGCATCAGCTGTGTGATATGGCTTGGCTTGACCATGTGATGTGGAGTTCAGCCCGGTGCAGGTTGGACACTTCCTGGTAAGACTCCAGACTTGGTCCTTTGAGCCTGCCCTGTCTGATTTTCCCGTTTCTGCATCGGGCATTGCTTGGCCTTCTCGGCAGATGGCAGGAACGCCTTCGAAGAGCGCTTTCACATTTTCCATTCGGCCGTGACAGAAGTCAAGGACGTCAGAGACCCTTTGCTGATTCGACGTAACGCCAGTCTGGTGGTCGCACAGCCCGTCTTGCGAGCGCGCATCACACAAATGAGTTCGCTCTCAGGCATGCCATGCGCTGAGAGATTCACACAGGATTCCAAGGCTGTTCGGCCTCCGCCAGCATGCAACCTGCCAATCAGCTAAGCCTTGGAAGCTGCAGCTGCAGCGCTTGCAGGCTGCTGGGCATCACCCTTAACGTGGGCAATTACTTGAATGTCGAATCCTTAGGAAGCCCCCCTGACCGCCCCTGGCTGCTAGTTTGCTGGTGTCTGATGGGTCGAGGCCGGAACATCTCGAGGCAGAGCGGATGGCTTCTCCGTCGAGGCACTTCTTCGGCTTCCGGTCAAGCAAGCGCATGTAGAGCTGAGACAGCTGCCAGAGAGCGAAGAGATCGCTGTGACTGACTGGCAAGGTTCTATCTCAGATGCGGGCATTGAAGGGCCAGGCTCCGTGCAGCGACGGCTTGTGGCTTGTTTGGGAAGATTTTGGAGCCAAGGGCTAGGATTTAGAGTATCCATGCAAGGCAAGGATGGCAATTCAATGCTGGCAGCTGCAGATGCCCGTTAATCTGGGCCTGAAGCCTGCTCTGCAGGCAGCATCGTCGAGCTCTGCGAGCACATTGTTGGACTTCGTGGTGACCTTCGCACATCTGCAAAGGAAGTCAGAGCTTTCTGGGCTTAGTTTATCTTAATTTCAGGTGATACACTGCGGGGAAGCAGCCCTCAGCTGTGGAAGAGAAGAGCTCGGTCGAGCTCAAACTCATCAGTTTACAACAGAGAAAGCATGGGGAGCACAGAGTCTGACACCCGACCACTCCTGCCAGTTGTGCATGCAGGCAGACAAATGTGGACACTTACAGTACCTAGGCAGATAAACTTGGCCAGGTATCATTTAACGCTCATGCTCGCCATAGTACCAAATGCCCTGTTTGATGGGTTAGACGTTAATGCCAAACTGCTCGAGCTTCTCTCTCATGAAAGGCACGCAGGAGAACATGCATGCAGACATGTAATAACTTTTCACAACAGCAAGCTGACAGCAAGCAGTTTTCGATTTCTGCGTAGACGAAGAGATGTTACCTATGCAAACATGGTTTGACAAACCAGTCAAGCATCTTGCGACATACCGCCTCCACCCGTACCGAAACGAAATTCAGTCAAATGCAGCACAAGTGCGCGACAGGCTGATGGTAAATCTGCCGCCGTGAAAACATGTGAGGATCCACGAGGTCCAACTGGCCAACTGGCCATACATGGGTTGGCTGTACAGTGTTTGTGCCGCTTGATCGTCTTACTGCTGGCGAGAATGCTGAGCAGAGGACCGATGACAGGAGTGCTGCGCTGAAACCACAAATGCTGAAGGCATTGATTGACCCACCCCCGTACAAAGATTGGTGCAAACATTGTGTGAGGTCGAAAGGCAGGCAAAGTCACGCAGTGAAGAAGAAGGGCCGCTGGCCAATGGTTTCTCGACGGGTCGTAATGTGTTTTTCCGCTAGCTCGCAACGGCAAGTCGTAATCGCCGCAGCCGTTCGACTTAAGTGCAGCCGTTCCGTTTCAGCCGACGGTTTGCACTAGCGGTTTTCTCCCGCCACCGTGCACATCCGTAGCCTGCGCATCCATCAAAGTCTTTCCCGGTAGCCGGGTTCCGACCGTCTGTCTTGTGCATATCGATTCCGGTTACCGCCCTGGATCCGCTGCGATCTTCAGCCATCCGGAAAAAGGTGCGCGTTCAGCCGCTCCTGCCCCCATGCTTAGTGCATACCGAACGTAACGGACTAGCTAGCGGAAGAACGCTTCAGATTGACTTCTCCTCCTTGGCAACTGAGAATGAGTTGCCTGACAGAACCATCCTGATTGCCACACGGATGTCCTCGGAGTGAGGGCAGCATTGGGAATGTTCACCGAGCACTGTATGGGCATTTGCCTTTCAATGGTTCACTGGAGTGTACCTTGGAAGCAGATGAGGTTATCCTCGGGAGTGCGAATGGTGGAATGCTGTGCGTCATGAGAATGACGCCGACGACTTGACAGCCGAAAAAGGATGGGAGAAACTCGACCGCTTCTGAAATTCCTCCAGATCTTGGTGTGAGAAGGAGAGTCAATGAAACCTCCTCCGGGATTGGAGAGTGTTGCTGAATATTGTTGAGGAATAGCCCGAAGTAAGAAGAAAACGTGTTCAGCAGAGTGAGAGCATCACCGCTCATGAATTGCTGGAGAACGTCATGACCGCGCCCGCGGCGCTTGATCATGAGGCCACAAGTGAGAGAAGAAGCCCCAAGGAGGAGTGCCAGGATTGACTTTGATGTTCCAGTGAGTGAAACACCGAACAAGCAAATGAGGACTTCTGCAGTGCATCACATGATTGCAGGAATTGGCGCCAAGATTGAGATGGATGTGAATGGCCACTCCGAGCCATTGCTCTGGCAGAGTGAGTTTCTTCATGAAGCAGAGAAGACGCGGATGATGACAGGGATGGTTTCAATGAGGAAGATTGAATAAAGCGGATTGAGACTGGCGCCCAAACGTTGGCAAGCAAGGTTTGCGGAGGTAATAATGGCCTTGAAAATGGGATGTAGAAATCGCATCAATGACGCAAATCTTTATGGGCATGAAACTGGCAATCTGTATGTCCTTGCCTTTGTTGATGATTTGTTGGTCCAATTGGTCAGAAGGACTGACCAAATGAGGAAGTCGTTCATGCCCCAGCTTTGTGAAGACGTGTTGTTCCAAGAGAATGCAAACCTTCCTTGGAAGGCGATTGCGACAAACTGATGATTCGACTGATGTGTGCATGTCACAAACATACAGTGACATGCAGTGGTTCGATCTTGGAACTGTATGGCATGAGGAATGCCAAGCATGTTGCGACCACTGGAGCCGTGACGATTGTCGAGTATGAAGAACACTCTGCGTGCAGGACTGCGTTCGGCAAAGTGTTGTGGCTGGCATTGGTTCGCGGCGGCATTCCCGATGCAGCCCAGGAATGGAGTCGTGATTGCAGTAAGGCGAAGCATTTGTTGCGGTATCTGAATGATGTACGAAAATGTGTGTTGCCGCCTCGCCCGTCACATCAGTTGGCTGACAACAGCTGTGCTGCTGATGTGAATGCCTATGCGGGCTCAGACTGGGCTGGATGCTCTTGGGTTAAATACAATTATTCATTACGCTAATTTTGCCTGCGTGCTGATCCGAAAGGCATTTTTTGTGGTAGATAGGCGTTGGCAGAAACAGGAAATGTTCAGATATATGACATGCTCTTTCAGAAAAACCGAACTTTACACGCATAAAATGACAGTGAAGATTAGTTCATTTTAACCCGATATAGTCAAGCGCCTTCATACAGGAAGGTGGTAATGGCTGTGTATGTACCGAGTAATATGCAAGAATGACGTGTTCAGACCGATATTAACATGAAGCTTTATGAGGTTGAATGTATGCAAATTCAGAAGCCTTTGAATGTTGAGCTCACATTCGTGACATATCCAGTCTGATTCTGATAATCCAAGTAAATAAAGTTTCTCGGGTCACCTGCAATGCTTACAAAAGCCGTATACTGTCCGTAAGAACAAAGCAATGTAACGAGGTACTGTCTTGCATAAACATCATACTTAGGGCATACTTGACAGCTTGCCAACATGTTTGGAAGTCTTAATCAAATATCGGGCAAGCGAGGGTATGTCTATACTGACAGTGCGTTGTTTGTGCGTGTTTAAAGTTAAATCATTAATGACTGAGTGTTCTCTAAATTTGACATTATCTCATGTTATTTGCTTGTCTATGGAATATTTGCTAAGTTGCACAAATTCCGTAAGTTCCATAAAGCCATACACCACGTGCGGGACTGCCTTATTTATTTCCCAATCCTACACACCATGCCTGGACATCTCTGATTTCTAAAAATATTCTCAATTTGGCACACTGCGCGTGGAATTCCCTAAGTCGCGAAATTCCGTACTTGCATGAGCGGTTTTTTTTAAATGCTTTATATCCATACCCCATGAGTGGGAATCATGAAATCGGTCAAGGCAGCGGTGTCGAGCCCAAGTAGAAGGTCAGTGTCAGATCTTCGTCTCCTTGCATTTCCCTCGTCGGGCCTGCTTCACAGTCTTGTGATCCAGGGATGACATCTTACTTGCAAGAAGACCTCCGGTTTTTGAGTGGGCAGCTTTACACCCCGCTCTCCTCACTTATGTGCCTCTTCCATGGTGTGATGCGTCTTCGAATCTCGCATCGTTTATCCGGTCAAACCCATGAGCACTTGCCACGACTCACAGCATCGGGTACAACTCAGCTAGCTAGGCATCGGCATAAGCTCAGCGGTTGCTGCTTGTAGGTGAGAGATGCGAGAAAGGTGTTATCTGGTGCGTCTTTCGAAACCTGGACCAGAAACAGTTCTCGGCGAGCATGGCTGGGGTTTGATTACACGTATGTCACAGGCAGGTGTGTTGTCTTTGAACACAGGTGCATGGCAAGATAACTCACTACATAGCACTGAACCTTTCAGGTACGTCAAGCAGAGCGTAGCAGGCCAGGCGAGCTTCTTCAGCTGTTTGGCGAAGTTGGTGAGGCCGGGTTCAGGCAGCCTGTGGCTTGCATGGCTGCTTTTAATCCTGGCAGGCAACGCTGGTTCAGAGAGCTTTCCGTCACAATCTGAAGGAGCTGTCCTTGGAGTTGACTGCCTATTGTGTCCAGGTGCCTTGGATACTTTAAATGCGACTCACCGAAGACACAGTAGACGAGATTGAAGCTGCAGGCCCGTGGCTTGGCAAGGCGTGGCGTCTCTTGTTAAGGTTGTCGCATGACTTGCTTCATGCAGCTCTGTCTCAGAAAGTCAGGCAGCACACATGGGATGCTGGCGTCGTGTTTCTGCCAGTCGAGAACGTATAGACACAAAGCGGAGTCTTATGGGGTCGTGACGTGCCGCGTGGCAGCTCACGGCCACATGGACTCAAACATGGACGGCGGCTTTACATCATAACAGGCACCTGTGTCCATCCACCATCAACCACCTGACCGACTGCACGTGCAAAGTCAAAATGTGCGCACGACGTGCCGGGTGAAGAACATGTCTTTCCCAGCCTTGAGGCTGAACCATGACAGAGCTGCTACGGTAGGTCGTCCTCCTCATTACGCACGAGTATTGTGGGTTCTATGTAGTTCCTGGCATATCAACTATTCAGTGTGCTGCAGCGCACATATGAGCAGGCAGTCTTCCAATGGTGATGATGTTCTGAAAGCTCGAGCAGAAAAGGTGGAGGCGGATTCTGTGCAGCGAGCGCGATCGCAGCTGAAGCGTAACGGTAGAAGCGCTGCCGAACTACCGAAGCTGTGGGGGATGGCATGTCTCGGAATGTGCTGCTCTACACAGGCTCACTTGAGAGATCTAGCGCAAACCTTGGATTGGGCATTTTGACCTTGGACTTGTGGAGCCTGCCGCGCGCACCTCCTTCCAAGGAAACTCTGCAAAGGCTGTTTGTAGAAGCAGAGGAAGACTTCAACAGTGTTAGTGACGCAGCCTCAGCGTCCGTTCTGATATTTTGCACGTTGTGGCCTTGTGGATGCAGGATATGCTCCTTTGTCAGGCCTGGTTCCACGAAGGCTCTGGAAAGAAGCCAGCACCTCAAGGGAAACAGGAAGACGAAGGCACTTGAGGAATGACAATTCTCTGATATGGCTCTGTTCACTGTTGCGTTCAAGCTGACTTGTTTGTTTCTCTTTGTTCACTGTTTCCATGCCGTGACCATGATGCTCTGTGTGTGTGTCCAATAACAGCATCCCCGCCGCCATCATCGCCATCACCATTCGACATTGAAGACAGCAAGCAGAAAGCTGAAAAGGAGCATCATGTGCTGTTTGATCCGTAGCCATGCCTTTGCTTAGCTTCTTGGAACATAGGCTTAAATTGAGGCCCAGACCTCCAGACGAGTTCTTCGGCTACTGGCATACCTTCTTCCAGGTTGGAGTTGATAACTACCGGTCACACACGAGTTGCGCAGAGTCTGCAGGGAATTCGCTCCACATTGGAGGGGCCGGGCGCATGTTCAAGGGTCATCATTTGACCGACCAGCTTTTGAAACGTTGAGCGGCTGAGGATGTATGCTGGAAAGAAGCGTCGAAAAGCCCCGCGATCACGAGTCCTGCGTCCTTTGGATCAAATGGCAAAGTCCAGAGCCTAGACGTCGGTAGAACTCATCCCGGTGCTGGTGTTTTGCAAGCAAGGTCGCTCTCACTGAGTGAAGCCGTCCAGGTGGGTTGTTGTCTCCTTTTCGCCGGGAGTGCAATGATGTAAGCAACATCCGGCCCTGGCTAGAGAGAAAGTTTAGTCGTCTAAAGGCCAAACCAATCGAGTGGCACCGGAATTCCGTGTCCCCAAGCTAAGCCAAAGCTGATAAGCCAGTCGGACTCGATGGACAATTCGTCAGTTTGACTGCCAGCAGGACATAAAAAGCTGAGGCAGTGACCTGGGCCACCTGAGTGTATCCGAGTGGGCCTGGCTACTCGTTTCACAAGATCTTTCGAAGCATCGATGTCACAAGGCCAGCTGGCGTTAAAAGATGCTTGCTTACTTTATGGGTTTATGAGGTTTATGGACACCTGTGGCTTCCTGCTGTGCGCCGAGACCGAAGTACACAATTGAGACGCATAAGCACATGTCGTGTAACCATCCCAATAAAGCTTTTGTTGCCAGTGCTGATGGAATCACAAGACCCCTGATTCCTCCCTCCTGACTCCTGCTAGAGGCTTGCCATACCTTCACCTTTTATCAGCATTTCGGGCATGCTCTCGAGCCTGACTCGCCGGCCGAATGTGACGGCCTGTGCTCATGCAACCTCTTGTGGCATGTATCTGCTTAGAGGGTATCGTGCTTTGGCTGCGACACAAGGTCTGCCAATGCCAATCCTGCCCATCTCCTCTGGCCGCTGCCTTGCTTCTCTTTGGTCGTCCTCAGCATCTAAAGTCAGAGCTTTGTCGAGGCAAGAGCGCGTGGACAAGGAGAGGAAGCTGGCCAAGAGGCCGGGAGATGCTGCGAGCATGCTGGAATTCAAAGGGCGCCGCCTTTGCTGCATGACAAGAGGCAGATCATGAAGCAGCTTGTCCTGGATGGCTGGGCAATGATTGCGAGTGCGTTGTGCACATGCGAGCATGCTTCGTAACGCAGGGGAGGAGCAGAAGGATGCGGAGCCGGAAGCACCGCATCGACCTCAGCAGATCAACCACCGAGTGCAAACATTTGAGCAAGTGCGGTTTCACACCGAGGCCACTACACGATTTGCATCAGTGCATGCATGGGTCTTGGCTTAGTATTTCCGGTGCCCGAGAAGTGTCGCATCGAAGCGGCCCTGTCTTGAGCTCAACTGACGAGGTCCTTGCCAGCTCTAGGACCACACGGATCGCTGAGCTTCTCGTGGTGACGTCGTAGTGTCACTCTTCGTCGACGGTTCATCGTGCCGGTTTTGAAGTAATGGCCAGATGCAGGAGCTTCGAGCTTCACACCCATGCTTCCGAAGGTGCCTGACACATCGAATTCTCGCTTGAGCGATGCTTCGACCATGCGAACTTGTGATCGAATTTGACAGATTGGGACTTCGGCGTCGTCGGCTCATATGAGCCATATTGTCATATTGCTATGCTTCGCAGAGTCACTGGCGGTGAGTGCTCCCATATTCTGCTTCGCAGAGGTCCAGAAGCATGACATGTAGGCGACCTGGCAGCACTGCCAGGATCCAAGAATGTGTGCAGTTCTCTCCTGTCCTGCGGCGATTGACCTTGCACATGACGTGCGTCTACTGCAAGCCCGTCGTGCCGAACGCACATTTTCTTTTGACCATGTGCGGCCGTTCAGGAGTTCAGGAGCTCTGTCGTGTCAGTCTGTCCGAATCTAACGAGGCTAGTGTCGCCTCACTGCGAAGCGCACTGCCGGCAAAGTCTTGTTGGTTTGTCACTGTCTAGCTTGGAGAAGTTCAAGAAGAGGGCAGTCCCGTGGGCAGGCTCAGCAAAGGCCAAGTCAATCAGCTTCGAGGTGAGCTGAAACAGGCGACGGAACCTCCACGTAGCGATTTCTTTGTTCAGGAGCTCTCTTACCGGTTTGACGACGGCATCCCTTCGCAAGGAGGACCTCCCGCTTTGCATCAAGCTGCGAGCCCATGATTTCAATGCCTTATATGCAGGTACAAGACGCGGTTGCAGCCGAGGCCAGGAGAAGTAGGATTCAAATCCCTGTGTGTCTGCTGAATCTGTCAACCATCACCGCCGGTCGGCAATGGGAAGCTGATAGGGTGTCTTCCTCCACAGACTGGTAGAGAGAAAGAGGAAAGAGGGAGAGCGCTGGTGGCGGGGTTTCCCGAAACCCCAACTAGGGCAGCCGATGCCGAATATTTAAAAGAAGAAGTGGTGCTGGTCGTGGATCTCCTCGATCCTCTTTTTTCCCGTCTGTATCATAGACGGATGACGATGAGTACATGTGCGAATGGAAGCCGGCTGCATGTGTGACGTGCGACTTCGCAACGAGAACGTTTTTGGTCCATTGATTCGTGAAATCAGATCGACTGCACCTTCGGTTCTGTACAGACTCAGTCGAGTACCGGTTTACCAATGCGATTACTTACCCCCCCTCGTTCCACGGGCTGTCGAGACATCGGGCATGGAATAGGAATAAGGAAGTTCATTGCCGACGATGTCGCTTAAGTCAGTTACAAATGAAGTTCCGCATCCCAAATCCTAATCATTGGATACCAATGGTTGCACAAGAGAGATCACATGGCTGTGTTCGGGACGGCTCACTGGAGGATCCTAGCCCCAAAACTTCAGCAACTGGTCCGAGCGCATGGAAGCAACGGTCTCGATAAGCATGGCATCTGCATTTTGTTGCTTGACACCGACATGTGCTCGCCTGGCCATGCATCCAAAGAATCCGAAGGATTCCAGACCAGGATCACAATTATCGCTTTGTCAGATATGCAACCCGATGACATTTGATAGCAGCAAAGCTCATGCAAATGAACAGCATACTAATTAAGATTTACCAATCGAGATGACCGATGCCTGTCGTTGCGCTCGGAAGTAGCACCAAGCCAGTAGTCTTCACCGGAGAGCCCCGCTGAATTTTGCTCCAGAACCCGCTGCGAGATCACTCGGCGTTGTGCAGACCTTTTGCAACAGGGGCGGACACCCAAACACACATACACACATAGACACTCACTCACGATTCCCCCAGTGGCACAGTTTTAACCAAAGTGAAACACAGCTGTCCAGCAACAAAAGCATGTAAGAGCGCCAGGAGATGCAGCAAAGATGCGCAGCACGAAACCCAAACGGCATTCAGAGCGCTCGCATCACCTTGTGATTTCTGCCAATTCACCAGAAGTTGCAGCTCTCCAGCCATGTCGAACTGTGTGGAGTTGTTCGCTTCACTAACTATACCACAAAAGCAACAGCACTTTGATCAGATGATATGTTTTCTTGACTGTGTACCTGTATACAAAGATGAGGCGGAACAAATTGTTGGGATCGCGACTTTTTTGACGAAGCTCTCGGTTCTCATTCCTCATCCAGCCCTTGCTCCATCGATGCAGCCTCCAGCAGCGCTACCGCACACGAACATGCGGCTCAACTGGAGGCCCAATACACAGATGTGCCTCACAGAGTCTGAGGAGTCTATTTTTGTCATTTCAACACCTGCGAAGGAGGAGTGAGGTTAGGCCATGGCTGGCATAGAGCGATAAGAACGGGCAGGGTTGCTCACGATCGTGTCGCAAGCTCCCAGGCAACATCTTGCAGCCACATTCAGCGTTCACTTGAAACGAGCTGTGGAATCAATGCGGCGAAGTAAGGCCGAACACCTACGACACAAGAAAGATGTTCAACCGGATCCTTTTCGCCGAGCCCACATCGAGAATGACCCCCGCTTCGAACGACCTCCACAGCAGAATATCCTCGGGCGCCCAGCTCCATTGCCACCTGGGAGCAATTACTTCCGGAATAAGACACCGGACGGTGCAAAACCAGAGAACGCAATCGGCAACTGCGCTAACAGAAGTGGCTTGACGACGAAGAAGGAGAGATCTTTCCCACGTGTTGGGAGTTCCATGAATTCCCAACACATTCCCGTTTCATGCATGCATCGCACGATCCGTTCTCACGCACACATCGGAAGCTCCTCGACAGTTTCCTAGTTTTGTTTGCTTTCCCGAGCGCCCGCTGAGCGCGAGCCTCCACTGCGCCGGGCTTCAGAGTTTTAAATAAATCCTTCAAAGTCACAAAAACTGAAGCCCCCGAGCTCCAAACCGCAAGACCTAGAGTTCCGAACCCTGACAGCCCTCAGCCCTAAAATTCTAGATTTCCGGGCAAGTCCCTCGAGCTGTCAGCTGGTCAGGGGGGAGAGGGGGAAGGCAAACACGGACCCAGCAAAGCGTGGATATGAAGTTCGCAGGTGGCCAAGATGATGCAGCCTCTCAAGGAAAAACTGCAAGCCGAGCAGACGACCAGGCATTGGTGCCGTTTACACTCCTTAAACACATGCCACAAGCACATGGGACGCTTTTGTCCAGGCAGCGCTTGGAGAAGATGCTCAAGGTGGCCAAAGGCCAGAAGGCACGGTGCCAAGACTGTTGCTTGCAAGGCTTTCAAGCCTTGACCTCGACACAGGCATAGCTGCACTCGTGATGCTGCGGCATTGGCCCGCGAATGCGGCACCACTGCGAATTCAATAGTTTCACACACTCGCTGCACACCGTGCTACCGATACATCGCCGAATACATTACAGATTTATGCGATGGGGGAACAACATGCGAGCATTGATTGCATCAGAGACACCAGCTTCAAGCGGGAATGCAGGGATGGGAATGTCGACCTGAGGGTTTTGGCTGACTTGCATTGTGCACCCAAGATTCAGGATGTTTGCCTAAACGGAGGACACTGTCAGAACTCGAAAAGCCATGTCAAGTCAGAAGCTGAAGCTCAATTCCCCTCCAGAGTCCTAGGTCCTGAGATGTCCAACCCTGTCGAGAATTTACCTGTGCAACTCTCCAAACCCCAACACAGCACAGCACCGCGGGCCTGCTTGCATCGAAACCGCCACGGTGCAGCAATCGTAGGTGCTCTGTGTAAACAAACTCCGTTCACTCGCCAGTTTCTCAGGCCTGCACACTGCCCGCAGACTGAGACAGTCCAAGCCCCATGGCAACCCAACATTTCAGACTCCAAGACCCGTCTAGCTTCACTGCCAGCAATCTTCTATTATCCATCCAACAAGAGGGCCGCCTTGTTGAGATTAGCTGCTTACCCATCCGCAGCACCCAAGGATCTGAATAGACTGCCTACTAGATCCGCAGCTGTGACAGGCATGCGGAAGGCAATTGGTGCTGAGCTGACGTACTTGTGCTTCTCTAGTGCATGGTCTGGGCTGCACCAGGTGCCATGCATGATACGAAGCGGGCTTCTTCTCTGTGCTGACCTGGACGTATATCCACATGCTCACATCTCGAGAAGACGTGACTGCTGCAAGCCACAGCCAAGGTACAATCATTGCCGTGGTCATCATCAATGATTTTGAAAGCTTCGTTGCTGGCCGAATATTTGACGAAGATACTGCAACATTTGGAGTGACGTGCCCTCCCATCGAGGCTTGCCCATGGAGGCAGCAGAGACGGAACCTGCATCGGCAGCACCTCGCAAAGCATAACAGGAGTGCCCTTGATGTCTTAGAGCGTAAGTAAGCGCCACATTTGCTGGAGGGGTTGTGAAAAGTGAAGATGTGCTTTTGCGAGTTGGTTGTGCAGTTGATTCTTGTCCATGTGGCTTTAGTGTTTTACTTCGTTTGTTGCGTGCTTGTGTTCAGCAGTCCGAGTTGTCAATGGCGTCGTTGGGGAAGATCCTGACGAAATTTTGGCACCCACAGCCTTTCACTCGATTGACTTGCGTACATCTCTCTGACAAGTTTTTGAACACATCTCCACAGCTGAGGGGTTGGTGCCCATGTATAGGTTGCGAGATCTTATCGTTGGGCCATCCTGGACAGGTCTTGCAGTTGGACATACTTGGACCTACCGAGCTGCTGTAATATACACGTCCAGTTTGCAGTTACGTATCCGACATTACGGCCCGTGTGAAAATCTGAAAATCGACTGCACCAAAAGTCTTGTCGGCATCTGCCTTTGAACATCTATAGGCGGCTGGACAGGATGTTGCACGTTGTGTTTTCTCGCAGTCCGAGCATCAGCCAAGTATGTCAGTTTGGCAGTCCGGAGTTCAGAAGTTCGCCCGAACGATCCATTGTCGGACAATGTCGGATGTTTGCATCTGCAATCTAGTTCTACTAAGGTACCCCCCTCGTGATCGTGCAGAAGTGTTCCGTTTGAATGGTGGGCAGGCACCGCAGCAGATTCAATTGTTTAGACATTGGCGGGAAGAACAGAGCTGCAAGCTTAGGACACCGGAATGCTCACCGCGGGGCCAAGGCATTTTGTTTGCCTGGTCCACTTAGAGGTTGCTCAGACGATGCAGCAGGCAAGTGCGAGTTGCTCGACAAGCAGAGCCCCTCATGCCGTGGAGGTCGCTTCGTTGCTGCTTCGTGGCGAGACTCGTTGTTGCCCCTCGTGAGCCCGAATCCGTGTCAGGATTCCAAACACGCAGCGCTTTCAGTGGCTCTCTGTGCGGGAGCTGCTTCTGAGAGAGAGAATCCTGATGGTCTCGGAGTGCCTTCACAGTGCAGTCGCTGATGTTCCATTTGGATTCGTTTGCTTGTTCCGCTCTCAAAGCGGGCAGGTACATTGACGACAACATGGCCAATGCGTATTTGGCAATGTTGCTTTACCTTCAGTCAGAAGATGCCAAGAAACCGGCCGTCAACTTAGTCATGAGTCTGGACGATGGTCGTGACACTTCGACAAAAGCTTAGGTGCAAATTTACTTTTCCAGCCCTGGAGCGGCTTTGAAGCCAGCATGCTTCTCAGCTCTGCAGCATCTGGGGCCAACATGTTGTACCTGACGTCAACGAAGTGATCCTTATTTGCCATCCCAAAATGCCCCTCGCACGCATCGTCCCTACCTCCGTTTCTCGAAGCTTCCATCCCATTTCACTACCCCTTCAATAATTTCCGAAGTCTTGTCTCGCCACTAACCCTCGGTACCTCGAGCGATGTTGACGCTGCAACTGACCAAGCTGCAGATCTTCCAAGACGTAGAATCTCGCAGCACGCCAACAGGGCCAGCAAGGACGGTAGTGCCGACAGCCTGTACCCTCGCCGCTTTTTCACTCGCCCAACCTTGATCCGGCGCTGGCAGCTGGAATTTTTGCCGAAACTGTCAAGACCCGACAGAGGCTCCGGAGTGTTGGGGCTTTCCGTCGGCAGGTTCGATTTGTTTCGAGTGTTCTCGCACCAGACTTGCTGGATTGGCTTAAGCCTTACTTACTTGCTGAAAGTGGTTGCGGCCCAGGCACTGGCCTTATATGATACCATCGGCCAACTGAAGGCGAAAGGCTGCAAAGCTTCAGCCCGAGCCGAGTGAGACAAGAAAGTAACGCCTGAGATAGATGGACGATGTGCTACGGTACACTGTCTCAGGTCACCACTGTCAGCTACTCTCTTTGTGCCGGAATGGGTGCTTTCTTAGCAGCCGCTGGCTCGCACGCGCCTTAGGAGAGCCTTCCAAGCTGCTGGCAAGATTCCGATTGCAAAGCCAGAAATCAAATTCTTCATCATGTCCGAAACCGGAGCAAATGACAGGCCTGGGCGGCGCTTTGCAACGCCTAACTCGCTCTTTCTTCTTTCCAAAACAGGACCCAGCAGCCGTGCCGCTGATTTGCTGATATTGATGTTTAGCTTGGCTGGTCTGACTGGAGACACAGGATTGGAAAGTCCGGTTCAAGGTCAGGCTACCGAAATTGAATTAGAGGCGCACCACCTGTCGGCGCTCTTGGCACCTCGTATTGTGAATAATATGCACTTGGCACAGGCAAAACAGATGCTGCGAGAAAGTGAGCGCACTGGCCCAAGCTTGGGGCCGGTTTGAGCAGCATCCCCGCAAGTCGATCCCTTTTGACGAGAAGGTATAGAGGAGGAGCTGTCCAGCATTACTGGCAGACCCATGGAGCAGATCCGAAAGGAGCTGCAGCAGTAACACCGCTTTCTGTAGGCTGGATCGATGAGGCGGTCACGGATTGACAGGATTTGCGACGAAATTTCTACCTCACCGCAGCAGAGGCGGTCGAGCCTACATCCAAGACTCTCTTGTCGGTGACACTTTTTGGTTTCATCACCCGTACCATTGCCACGATGCTGCCAAGGTATGGTCTGATAGACAAGGTGCTTGTACCAGAGGACGATAAGGGCTCAAAGCTAGACAAGGCGAGTGTGGATTTACGCATGTATCGCAGCTGCAGCTTCGTAACTGCAACAACGGCCAACAACTTGCTCTTCACATTCGCAATTCTCCAGCAACGAAATGCCGGTCGATCTCGGACTGAGCGACTGCGAACAGCTTGTCCAAACACACGCAGATCGTCGTCCTTTGATACCCAGCACTTCATTGAATTCACTTCTGTTGGGTCGTGGAGTTTGTCAATGGCATCATATCATCAGCTCCGGGGCGTCTGAGCGGACAGCAGTCATCAGCACTCCTCCCGGGCTGATGCGGCGGTGTTTATCTATAATGTCCGTTGCTGGAGCTCCTGGGGCCAATCACTGGTCTGAAGAAATTAGCTGTTTCACTATGGTTCAATCATTACTTGCTGCTGGCATGCACATCGCCCCGACGGATTGGAGCTAGGCAGAGGGTGATCTCCTTCATGCTTCTACTGTTTTTCTATCTGCAAACACATGTCTCGCACTGTTGGCAATCGATGCTGCTAATATACTTCGTCAAGCTATTTGCAGGATGTGAAAGCTTAACTAAGTTTCGACTGGAAGAAAATTTGGTTCTGAGCGGGATTGTAGCGGTCAGCCAGAGCAGCACCGTTGTTCTGCCCATTCTTCTCGTTCCAGCTTTCGTAGCTTCATTCTCCGTTGTACGCGGGTGCACCATGAACCTGCTTGAAGCTGGCAGGGCACTCGTGATCCATGGAGTGGCCAGGCACGGTGCCGCCGATGACCTGATGGGTTTGTTGCGGCTTGCAACTTGTGCCAGGTCGTGAAGCCAGAGGTCGGCTTTGGGGTTTTCGCAGACCCAGATCAGCCTCGAACAGCTGTCTAACACCGCGGCCGGAAAAGCACCGGCGCAGGCAGGGTTTGTCTTCAGGTATATTGCCGGCTAGCCTTACAAGGCTCAGATGTTCAATGGCACCTAGTCACATAGTTGACAGTCTACCTGAGTAGTTGAGCAACTAGGTATGGCTGCCTACGGCTGAGTTAGAACAAAGCAATCTTCTTATGCGGACGCACAAGGGGAGCAACTTCGAAGGTTGTGTTCAATCGCAATGGACTCCGTGACTCATCGTGAGCTCGTGCATTCGGAATTCCCTGACCTCAGGGCAGGTCTTCCGCCGATTGAAGCTCTAGTGCCTGAGCACAAAAAAGGTCTGGTGTCGGTGATGGCAGCTAGTTCCGTTCCTCCGCGCACTATCACCTGTGCTTGCCCATGTGGTAGCACGCGCTCAGCATCACTCAGCACATCCTCGAGAGGGATCCTTTGCCAGGTGCAATTTTGTGGGCGCTGGGTTGAAACTCGTACATGCAGTTGTTGTACGCTAGCGTGCCGGCTTGTCAATCCAAACAAGTGGTTTGCGATGCATTCCAAGGCGTGTACGATTGTTCTGGTGCTTGCCTTTCTCTATTTGACAGTGATGGTGTTCAGAATGTGGTCTGTGCATGTCTTTCCGGTTTGAAGACAGACATGCGTGGCAGAAGGGCTTTTGAGGAAGAGACGAACCCCCTTGCTTCCTCGCAATCAGGATCACAACTGCACGGAACTCTCAGGAGGGCACGAACCACGAGAGCATCGAAGCACCTCGGATCAGGCGCAGGACCTGTATGCTGCCTTTTCGACCTCGTGTAAGCTTGACAAAAGCTTGTCGATTTGACTTATTCAGATGTTCTCTCGCTCGTTCTTTCTTCAAACCGAGGCGACTTTGGTACCAGGCAGTTCATTGTTTTGGGAGGCTGGATAGGCACATCATCGGCGCATGTCGGTGCACGCCACGGCTGCACAATTTGTGGATAGTCTTGGCTTTCACGGGGAACTGTCCAATGGCCGAGATCTAGGAATGCAGTGGACGTCCATCCCACGGCATTGCTTGCTGGATCATGCGACTGTGCTGTGGTGCCCAGCCATGACGCTGGAGTCGGTTCCATTGTTCTTCTCTGGTTCTCGCATACGCTTCTACTGCGCAGCAAGTGCTCTCCTCAGAAGCCTTGTGAATGTCGTGTTCAGTGCCTATCGCTTATACCATTGAAGTTGAAGTTGCGAATCCGCCCAACCATGAACCCAAAATTTGGCACAGGAAATGATTTTACTCTTCAGTTTTTGTGGCGGAAGCTTATAGAATCCAGCTGGGTTGAGGCATCGTTGGCAGAGGCCCTCTTGCAGCGTCCACTTCCCAGCTGCAAAGGCCGGCCACGGAAAGATGGAGCCCAGCGTTTCGAGAAGGTTTGAGATCCCGATGGCGAGTCCGCTCCGGAGAGTGTGTAGGCGACAGGAAGAGGTTGGTTGGACAGAGGAGGCCTGCAGTTCAAATCTAGTGTGTAAGCAGGGTGTGTATATGATAAGGGTTCTAGGTTGGATTTCAGATGCGAGGGGTTTGATACGAATCGGCTACGAGCATGCACGAACGGACACCTCACATCACACATGTTCACACACGCTCCACAACTTCACGCAGAGAATCACAACACCTTTTGGTGGTTGGTTGGTGTTCGGCTGGTCGATAGCCGGAAGGTGGTGTCCAGGGATGCTCATCGTTTGCCATCTGATCTTCCTGGGGCTGGCACGAAAGGCAGCCTTTTTAGCTGGCCCTGTGTGCAGTTCCATTGCGGCTCTGACGACCGGCTGCGGAGAAGATCGGGTGGGGGGTGTCTCGCGGTTGACCGTGTTGGAGTGCCTTCCAGCGACCTGGGGACGGTTAGTGTGAACCTCTTTCTTGGCAGCGCCCTTTGGGGAAGCAATTCCATGGCCGACCCTTCGGGGGGAGCCCTCTGGTTTGGCTTCCATGGCCCGTCCATGATCGAGAGCGCCGAGAGGCCGGACACACGACCCAGAACCAGCGAGGATGAGCGAGGCTTCACGGTGAGTGAGCTTGGCATACCTCTCGAGAGCATCTTGGTCATGCTTTGGCAGGCACCGCTGGGCCCGGTGGGTTTGTTCTTGGTTTCGGTGGTCAAACTCAAACTTTCCACACGACCCCGGCAGCACGAGCACCACAACATAGCAATCAAACACACGTCAGCACGACGCAACAAGGATACGAAGTACCGGTGCAACTGGCTCTGCAGCGCCCCGATCATCAACACACACAGACACACATACACTTCTCCCACACCGAAAGTGCGATGTTGCTTGTGCATGCACGGTGTTGTGTCATCTTGTTTAGTTGGTGGCGTTAGAAGCATAGGTTATGGCTGTTTTGGCGGGGCACCAGGTGTTCGTTCTGCGGTTATTGCTGATGCTGTTTTACATTTGTTTGTGTAGGGAGTGTCAGCATGATGGCCATGTTGTTTGGCCGAGTTGAGAGTGTTGGAGGTGTGGTTGGAATGGTGTCATCCGTGAGGTTGTTTGCAGCTCTTCGTTCACGAAGAGATTCCTGCGTGGCCAGACTGGCATAGCCTACATGAAATGATTTACCAAAACAATATCATTTTGATCATCATCAAATCATCACAAAATCATTGTCGTTCTCTCCACTGTTCAAAACAGCATCGAAAAATCATCCACATCTGTAGTCATCATCGAGATTCCCCCGATCACTCTAAAGGAACTGTGGACTTTGTTTGTGCTGCGTGGCGATGCGCCTTGTGTACGCAGACAAATACGCATGAAACAATGAACCATGTCATGAGTCCAGAGTTTGCAGGCATGTTGAAGCGAAGTTTGTCCACGTCAGTGGTCTGGCGACGATGTCGTGGTTTAGAGTTGGTTCCGGGAAGCCAGCCTCAGGAGGGGACGGATGTGAGGATGATTCTGGGATGTCACTTTGAGGAGGGGATGATGTGATGATTCTGGGATGTCACGTTGGGGAGGGGATGATTTGGTGATGATTCGGTGATGATGGCACCGTTGCGTCGGCGGTGGTTGTGGGAAGGGGGAGGGGGGAGGGAAGGGGCGGGGTGAAGAGGTGGGGGAGGAGGGGGAGGGTTGGGAAATGTTGGTTTTCCCTAGGGAATTATCTTCAAATTATCCTCAAATCATCCTCGAATCATCCTCAGATCATCCTCAAATCATCCTCAGACCATCCTCAGATTGATTTTCCTCAAATCAGCTTCAAATCATCCCCAAAATATACCAACATCTTCACCACAACATCAGTTAATTATCGTCAAATCATCATTCTTGGCATCCCCCGTCCTTCCTGTGTCATCAGCAAATCATCCAAAAAATATACCCTCCCGTCTCCGCCCAATCTCAGAGGACAGTGGGCCCCTGGGCCCCTTGCTTGCCATGGTTCAATCACATGACGGGTTTACGATGGGTCCCGCGAAAGGGTGTGAACAATGCGCTGATTGATTGCACTGCAACTTTGGAGCGTACACGTGCACGGCCCTTCAGAAACACGCTTGCTGAGGCTGCTAAGGCTTGTGTTTCGGGGCCCGGGAACCTGACAATAAAATGATGAGTGGTGGGGCAGAGGATGATTTGATGATGATTCCGATGATGATTTGATGATGCAACAAATGAAGATAAAATGATATTTTATCCAGCGTGTAGCTGGCTAAGATTCTTGTAAGCATAGATTGGTCGTGACATGGCGTCAAGGTTGCTTGCTGCGCTTGTGGTTGTGTTCGTTCGTGATGTTGGCTGTGTTGTGATGTTGTTTCGTCACAACATTTTCTACATCCACAAATTTACCACCCAAACTTCATGCACTTTCGGATTCGGTGACAGCTGCTAGCCAGAACAACATCGGCCAACCCGGCACCAAATCCCGAAGTGTTCAGCCTCACAATGCACGGCTAAGTCTTTTGAATGAACGGGATTCATTGTGACTTCCACTCCCCTCCACCAACAGTCATCGACTAACCTGACACACCCCGCCACCCCAAACTACCATCATCAAGACCAGCACCTCCAACGCCGCCAACACTGCAGCAAAAGCAGACGCAACATTACAGCCCGAAACACGTCACCCAAACCGGAACCCACTGTCGGGTTTTTGTGAGACAACAACCCGCACTAATCCGACCATCATGTCCCACACCTCCAAAAATGGCAACAAGCATGGGCAACCAACACCCACATATATCCAAATGCATCCACCAGCACCACCACCCAACAAACAGCTGCACAGCCAACCAACCAACCAACCAACCAACACCTGGCACCACCCTACAAGGACAGCCGCTACTTTCTGCAACCAACGGAACAGCATAACGGAGCATTGCGCATCAATAAAACAACATCCCAAATTTCCATCAAACAGAACACCAAGCAAGACACACCAAGCAAGGACCCATGCCGCTCGCACTGCCAACATCACCCTATGCAGCAGCAAACCTATAAGACCCCGCTGATCAGACTATAACTAACGGCCACACCTCCCCCGCCGTCTCACCAACATTCCCCCGACCAACACGAGCAACAAGCGTGACCATATGCCCAAACATAAAAAAGCCAAACATATCCCATGTCACAACATGACACCCCACATATGCTCGCACATCCAGTGCCGCCAACAACCATTCGCAATATCGCATCGCGGTCGATCCGCTTGGGCCCACCGCCGACTCAACAACCAACCACAACAACAACAACAACGAGCAAGCAAGCAACAGCTCACAAACAACGGCCAAATCCATGAACATCGAGAATTGATTGACGGCTAACATCGCGGACGACAAGCTGAACAAACACATCATCCAAAACTTTCGGATTTGCGTCCAAATGTCGCCCAGCAGAAGCAACAAAGATGGACAACCTCACCCGACAAACAGCGAACAGCAGCAACAACAACAACAGTTGGTCCCCCCCCGCCCCACAAACACAGCCGATTAACCAAACTAGCAGCAAAACAGAGCATTGCCGCATGCTAAGACTGCCAACATCAC